CTGAAACCCTCCGTCCGCTGGGATGGAGCCGGGGCCTTCAGACCCGCCGGGGCAGTGGTCGGTGCTACCAGCAGCTGAACGAGGTTCATGTAGGGAAGAGTCTGAGATGCAGACCTCCACCTTGTCTCTTCTTTTCCTCCCTCGGTTGTTTATAACATTTTCTATCCATTTGTTTTCCCTGAAAGGCTTCACGTCTTGGAAGGGTGCCCTCCGCCCCTGGGCCATGCCCGGATCCGCGGAGGACACACCTGCCGGGCTCTCTGCACTTTTTCCGTCTGCTACGGAACAGCCCTCTGGAGGCGAGGCGGGGGGTTCTCTTCCTTACAGGTTTTCACCTTGGACTCGAGTCTGAAGGTCTCCTTCCAGCAAAACAGAGTCTTGAAGTCGTTCAGTGTGCCCCTGTCTCCCGATGGGCTTGGTCTTAGAAAGCGACATTGAAGATGGGAAGGTGACTCACGCTGGCTCTTGGCAGGGACGGCGGCTTTGCCCCAGGAGGTGCACTAGTGGGCCGCACCCCTGGGACGTGGTGACCGTGGTCTCCGTCTCCCAGAAACTCTGCCTGTTCTGCAGTCCAGCAGGGCTCCGGCGCAGGAGGCCGCCTCCCCCTTCAGAACACATGGTTTTCAGAACACCGTGACTGTGACCGTATTCCGGCAGATGGACGTTTTGCGATACCGCCTTTGTTCCTGAAGTAGCAAAGTGGGGATCCAGTCTTCAGAGGCAGGGGCACGTGGGACAGACAGACAGGTGTCAGTGGGGAGGGGGAGGGGGAGAGCGGTGGGCAGTGGGTGAGAGGTGAAGGGACCGGCCACAGAACATCAGTGCGCGGTCCCTGGACACAGAGGACAGTGTGGGGAAGGTCAGAGGGCAGGGCGAGGGGAGGGAAAGAAGACGCCTGCAACAGTGTCGGTGATAAAAACAAAGTTAAAGGAGAGAGTGACAGGATTTAAAGCAACACAGAAACACCCACAAAACGGAAGGAGGCTGAGAATGCAAAGTGACCTCTGTCGTTTGACCCACGCGAGCCCGGCCCTCCGACTGGGAACCTGTCCACGCTGCTCGGGGCCCCGCGCCGCGGATGAGGCGGTGGGGCGTCTGTGTGTCTAAAGAGCAGCCAGTGGGGCTCAGGAGTTTTCTCGACGTTACACAGTCTGCCAGTGAGGAAGCTGGAGTCAAACCCATATCTGATTCCATTACCCAGTTTCTTTCTTGTTTTATTTTTTTAAGGTGTTACATTTTCAGAGAGAGGGGAAGGGAGGGAGAAAGGGGGAGAGGAACATGGATGGGAGAGGGACACCAAGATCAGTTGGCCCCCGGACGCACCCTGACTGGGGACAAATGACCTGCAGCCCGGGTATGTGCCTTCACGGGGAACTGAACCAGTGACCTTTCAGTTCGCAGGACAACGCCCAACCCACTGAGCCGCGCCGGTCCCGCGCCATCCTCCATTTTCTGGGCAGGGGCTGGAGGTGCCCACACATGGTTTCTTCTAGCACATCGACAGCCCGGGTCACTCCATGTTAGTCCGTGTCATGAGTCCCACAGGGACAGCGACAGACGCAGCGGGACCGCACGGGGTGTGGGCGTCGTGAAACCGCAAATGACGGACCAGTGTGGGTAGGAGCACCATCTGTCCTCCTCCTGAGCGGTCCTGTGACCTTGCCCTCCTAATTTCGGCCTTTACACGAGTGGCGAACAGATGTGTGGGAGGAAAACAGAACTCCCTGAACTCGGAAAATGGTGTCAGAGTATTTAAAGACACGTATTTTTCAACTGCAACTCTGGTTTGGCAGATGAACAGAAGGAGTGTGAAGACAAGTGAGCTGGAAGATATTTCTGTGCCTCTGGGTGACAAGTTCCTGTGAAACTGGGCTTGGGGGGGGGCGGACATGAGGGACTGGTTTCCGCAGCCTGGACGGGGCTGACGCTCACCCACTGCGTTCCCAGACTCCAGAGTTTCCTGAGTTTGAATGCAGAAACAATCGGAAGGTTTGGGAAATTTCAACACAGCTGGACTCAGCTACTCACTGAAGGCTTGCAGGTGCATTAGGGGTTCACTGAATGTCTGTTAAATAAATAAGTCAATAAAGGAATACAGCCCACACCTAAATGTGACAGAGAGAAAGAGAGAGGAAGGCTGGGGTGAGGAAGGGGGGAGGGAAGGAGGGAGAGAGAGACAGTGAGCACAGAGGGAGTGTAAGCAGCTCCTGACTGGAGGGGTCAGGAGCCCCCCCTTTGCTGGGTGAGCCATGCACCCGGGAGAGAGGAGAGGCTGGGTGATGTGCCCCCCGGGCTAAGTGGGGTCCCGTGCCCGGTGGGAGCCTCTCCTGTGGCGGAGTGTGTCACCAGCCTCGCGAGCTTTTTATTTTCACATGGCTTGGCCCCAGCGAGGCAACTCTTCGTCTAGTGCCCCTATGAAGGGTGACTGCTCCAGAGGCTGGTGGACACCCGGGCTCCTGAATACCCCGAGAGGTGGGTACTTCAGAGGTATTTTAAGTACATGCCCCCCCCCCGAGAGGCAACTCCATTCCAGACAGTAGGATTAGATGGCTTAATGATTTCTGGGTAGTAACTTGGTATTCTCTGACCAGAGAGAGTTGACCCTTCAAACAGTTGACTCTCAGCACTGTGCTTCCCCGAAAGAGGCAAAAATGAGGAAGTTAGAGGTGATACATTAGAGACAAGAGATTAGAAAACGTAGCAAAGTCCTGGGTGGTGTGGCTCAGTGCATTGAGTGCTGGACTGCAAAGCCAAAGGTTGCAGGTTCGATTCCCAGTCAGGGCACATGCCTGGGTTGCGGGCCAGGTCCCCAGTGGGAGGAGCTCAAGAAGCAAACCAGACACTGGTGTTTCCCTTGCTCTCTTTCTCTCTCCCTGCCCCTCTCTTAAAAAGTAAATAAATAAAACCTTAAAAACAAGAAAATGTAGCAAAAAAAGAAATAAAAAAATACTGGTGTTTTCCACCTTCCTCTAAAAATGTTAACAGTCAGTATTTCGGCGTGTTTTCTCACAGTGTACTGTGTGTGTGTGTGTTTGTGCGTGAACAAACCAGGCAGTGTGTGATGGCAGGACCTGCCTCGACCACCGAGCGACGCACCGTGAACGGCTGCCCCACGTCCTCAGTGAAGACCCGCACTCTCGGAGCGCGGCTCCTCAGGACGCTCCTCCGCTGGAGGCGACCGCGGCCGCTCTTCCCAGAAGCCGAGCTGCCCGCTGCGGCCCCACTGGGAGGGCGCGCACAGAGGCTGCAAAGACCGGGACGCCTGCGAGCTGAGGCCCAGGACGGAAAGTAGGTCCATCCACGGACGAGCCGGCCTCGCTGCAGAGGACACTGGCCCCGAAGGCCGTGTGACTCTGCTCAACCCCCGACGCTGCCCTTCCCCCCAGGTCGAGAGGGTGCTTTCGTGACTCAGAAGGAGTCCTTTCCAAACATGTTTTGCGGTTTTCAATTTTATTTATTTTTTTGGCACAAGCCACTAAGTGAGTCAAATGTAAACTCATCTGGCTAAACAGACATTAAGAGGATATTCGGGAGCCTTCTGGGTGAACCCTGTGAGACGAGGTCGAAGGAGACCCACGGGCCCCATGTCACTTTGTCTCTGTTCCGGGCGAAGCTGCCTTTCCACCCGTGAACCGCCTACTGAGCCCAGAGGTCCTGCACGAGCCACGTGTTTAACCCAACTCCCTAAAAATAAGGGCTCGAGACTTTCTCAAATGGGTTCTTACGAAGCGAAATCTCTCCGGCATTAGCGCCTCCTTGATTGCATTCAGGCATCATTTTGGCAGTGGAATGACGACATTAAATTAGCATCAAGCACAATGAATGGTAATTGCGAGACTGTCGTTTCAACGAGTGCCAAATCGATGTGCTCCGCAAACCCATCCCACTGTGTGCCACAGGCACGTCAGGGGGCCACGTCGTCCGAGCAGAAATGCAGCTGCAATCACATCGTTCAGGGCGGCGACCGGGAGGACCGGCGCTCCTTCCCGCCTCCGCTCGGGTCTCCTGCTCGCTCCCCAGACCCTGCCTGACCTCGTCCGTGTGCCCCTCAGACAGCGACGCCTGCCAGGAGCCCAAGCGTACGCAGCATGTTATGGAACAACTCCTCCCTCTGCGTGGTGCCTTGTGTGAACGCTGCCCGTGAAGTGACCCCCGCCTATCTCTGAGAGTGTGGGCGGGCTGCTCCTGCGAAGCTCCGCAGGAAGAGAGGCACCACCCACAGGAAGGAAGCGTCGCCCAGATGCTGTACATTCACTTAGAGAAGAGGGATTTGCGTGCATTTCGACGGCAGTGCAGGAAGGTGAAGGCCACCTCCCTCCAGCCCCTCGTCTACCTGTGGGAAGTGAAGCCACAGAGCAGCTGAGGGAATCACAGGGGACATGCCACCCCTGTGCATCGGGCCCTCGCAGTCTGCTGATCGGCCTGCAGGGTTCGCTGGGGTTTAAAGGAATCACTTGAGACTGAACAATAACAGCAGCAATAACAGATGCTCCAAGTTGACCGATGAGATAGGGCACCTCAACGCTCCTGCAGGGGAGCTGGGGCTCAGGACCACGTGCAGACACCTCCCGTGTGAGCGTCATGATGCTGAGCCTGACAGTCACTGGGCAAGAGGCTTTCCCGGAAGTCCAGCTAGAACCCAGTCTCTTAGTAGCAGGAGGTGAGGCCGTGGTGGGTGTTAAGAGCCTAGGTGTTAAGTTACTGCGTTCACTGAGTGCCTGCAGTAACTCATCTGTCCGCTGGGCTGACCCCCTGACACCTCTCAGTGCAGGCCTGGGTCCCCTTTCAGAGGCCGCTGACTCTGTCGCTCACCCCACTGAGGTGTGACGTGGCGGCTACCTGACGGCCACGCTGCAGTCGGTGCCCGTGTGCAGCAGTTTAGAGTTTGCTCTCTCATCCCATCTTACTAAACAGCAGACTAGGGACTGATGGGGACTGTGAAAGACCTCGAGAGACCTAGAAGGATGTGCGTGGATGGCTGCAGCCCGGCCCCGACTTACCTTTGTTGCAGAAGGTGCCGTCGTAGGCCGTGTGCGAGCAGTCGCAGGAGTAGCCGTGGTATTTCTCCACGCACTGGCCTCCGTTCTCGCAGTTGGTCCCGTAGCTGGTGCAGTGGCCCGAGCACCCGGACTTGAAGCCGGAAGTGACCTTCGCTCTTTCCTCCAGGTCCAGCGTCACCCCGTTCATCCTCAGGGAGCGGATGCAGCCCAGGAAGCCCTGCTGGCCTCCGGCGCCACCTGGGGACGACAGAAGGCAGCAGCTGAGACAGAAGGGCCTCAGCTCCGCCTGGAACAGGAACAGGAGGCGAGATGGCCAAATGCAGCCAGTGTTCCGACTTTGACCTTGGTCTTGCTTAATAGAGAAACTGGATGATTTCCCCCCTTGGGCTACAATGCCTATTTAAAAGAGCCTGTCTTCCCAGGTGTATATACTGACCTGGAGGTACACAAAACCTGTGTGAGCTGATCTGAAAGTCTCATGTGGTTTCCCCCAGAAAAGAGGTTTACAGACATCGCTAGCTTCCTTGCCTTTCAATCCCTTAGCACTCAGTTCCCACCACCACCTACTGAGGGAAATACACACATGCAGACGGGCGTGACCGTGTTAACATAATTCACGAGTTGACAGTTGGAAGGGTTAAGGCCACTTGAAATGGGACCCTGACTCCTGGTTCCCGTCTCACCAAAATGCTTTGGAGTCCACAGCAAGGGCCCCCAGGACCGAGTCTGGGGTGGCTGGAAGTTGGGATGAGTGATTTTTCACGAAGGCCAGCCCCCGTACACGTACCACCAGGTCCTGCTGGGTCCCGCTGCCTTTGTCTGAACGCCACCCCAAGACGCACACCACGAAGGGCAAGTTCGTCCTGGTTTTTCAAGTTACAGAGTTAGATCAAGGTGCACGAGCACAGACATGTTAAAATATTCCTAACCAACATCACAGCAGGATTCACTGGAGTGTTACAGCCACACAGATTTAATTGTGTCAGATTTGACCTTAGCCGTGAGTGTGTTTTTTTAAAGTAGTTGGTATAAAAGGAGGAATTCAAGTTTATATACATGTCTATACTTCAGAGTAGCAACTTTTCTGAAAATTAAATAAAGTGAATAGCAGTTAATATTATAAAACAAAATATGATGGGGTTTTAGAAAAAGATACTGTTAATAAAATCAGTTACCCTTTTACAGTGAAGGTTAAGCAGAAGGTGGTCTATTCCATGTCTTACATCTACCAGTTGCCTGATTCTCACAGCAACCGACTGGCATGGTGGCTGGGCCCTGCCATCAGCCATTGTACAGATGAGAAAACCGAGCCTCAGAGAGACTCCGACGTTCACTCACGGACTCCAGCTCCAGAGTGGCAACACTGTGTCAGATCTGCCTAAGTCTCTAATCTGCGGTCTTACACTCGGCTCTGCATTGACCCCCCTGATGCAGAAGAGCATCCGGGTCAGGGCCCCACAGAAGTCCGAGTTTGGGACGTCTTCAAAAACGGAGTGGGCAGCGGGATCGTGAGGGCTGGGTGAGGCTGGTCATCTGGGGACCGATCCCGTCACTCATTCTATTGTGTTGAGTGAAGTGCACAATGTCACGGACTCATCCGACAGGGCTGGTGGATCAAAGGCTTTATTAGCAGAGAAGGGTTAGCATTTGCCCGGATCTGTACGTCCTCGGCCATGAAATGAAAGGAAACACTATTATTTTTATAAACCCAAGGCTTGTAGTTCTGCCGTTGGGTAGTAGAAAGATTTGAATAGTAAGTCTCCGGGGATTTTTTGTTTGATAAAAACGTTTGAAAGAGGACTAACTGAAGAGGCCAGTGTCCTTTTTAATCATGGCCACGACAGAGTAGATGGCAACAGTCATCAGAAACAGCCCCTTTTCTGGGTTTCCCATTTTGCAATCTGCTTGTCAGCCCAGCCTCGCGCCTTTGTGCTGAAGGGAATGTGGGCCTTGGCCAGGGTTTGGAAGAATTTCAAACCATTAGTCACCTTTTATGTGTTAACATTTTAATTTGGCTTCTATCATTGTGGCAATTGTGGTTTGATTTTTGCAACAAGGGCTTGCCAAGGGCTTTCTGTCCAGTAAACGCCTCGCCATTTAAATTTTCATTATTAGTCAGTTCTGACTATTCCAATCAAAATAAGCTAAAATTTAAAAGCCACTGTTTTTAGGTGTCTCCCGCTCTCTCCCTCATCACGAGGGTGACGGATTTTCACCGTGGAGCCTGTAACACGGCGGAGAAGACAGCTCTGCAGCGCGGCTCAGAGAACCAGGCCCGCTGCCTCCCAGCGAGGCACCTTTCCTACTCGCGTCTACGAGAACACACGTGGGAAAGACAAAACCAAGGACGAAGCGGGATCCTGACACACACAGTTCTGAAATTTGCTTTTTTGCACTAACACACCACATGACACTTTCTAAGCAACGCACCGTAGCTCATTCTGCGAATGTATAAATTAGATCTTGCCCTTCCACAGTGATGGGGCTTTTGAGCTTAGTCAGATTTCCATTTTATATGATACTGGAAAAAAAATCCCTGTAAAAACCTTTGCACACGTATCCAGTTTTTATTTAGGAATGATTCTTACAAGTGTATTGCTGGGTACAAAGGCACACACATTTCAAAGGCATTACAAATCTATTTCCTCTAAGAAGAATTTGTTGATTTATATTTCGCCAGCAGAGTATATGATACTCCCACCTTCTCCACGCCGAGTCTCACACCAGGCACGAGCCTTTGGAATTTATAGACTCGGGGGAAAACACCTCCTTGGGTAAATGTGCATTGCTTTAAATACTGTGATTTGAAGGATTTTTGTGTTTTACCGATTCTTTTTTTTTTTTTTTTCTTTTAGAAGGGAAGGGAAGGGAAGGAGAGAGGGAGAGAAACATCATTGTATGGTTGCTTCTTGTGCATCCCCTGCTGGGAAGTGGCCCCTGCTGGGAACTGGCCTGCAACCCAGGCATGTGCCCTGACGGGGAATTGAACCTCGATCTTTTGGTTCGCAGGCCTGTGTTCAATGTTTTACCGATTCTTATATTTTGGTTTTTCATGTATGCTTCTTTTTGGGGGGGGAATAAGATATGTTATATTTCTTATTCACTTATAACATTTTGGGGTTTAGTTCAATGCTATAAATTGGACAACCACATTCTTCCAGTTTGTGCCTGTTAATCTGTTTACAAGGTCCTCTTTCCCTGTGACAGTTTTGAATGTTCACATAGCCCCATCCATCTGTTTTACGTGTACAATTTCTGCCTTCGGTATTAGACTTACACAGAAACTCTCAAATCCAGAGTAATGTAATTATTCAACTGCATTTTCTTCCAGCACTTGTCTAATTTTACTTCTCTTAACATTCCACTCTTTTAAACTATCTGGAATGTATTTAATTTGGAAATAATTCATATTCAAAGGGTCTCAGCAATAATTGGGAGTTTGAAGAAGAGATTGTTAAAAGACTCCAAGAAAATGTTAATATGGCAAAAACAAAAAAGGAAAAATCAGAGACTTAAAAGGGCCACCCGGCGGAGCAAAGGAACCTCCCGTACATCTCGGTCTGTCCTCACCAAGGCCGCGTTCCCACGCAGGCCTGCGCGCTTCTGCACGCAGGCCTCGCCCCGGGCTGCGGGGGTGGCGTTTCCGGTTCCTCTGCCTCCAGCTCCTTCCGGAGCTCCCCGAGGCCCCGCCCTCACCAGTCTCTCTCCCTGCCTTTGTGTTTTTTGCTGTGTTTGTGCATCCCTCCCTGTGAGGACTGCCGACTGTTCGGGGTCAGTTGTGTGGCTTTCATCAAACCTCTTAGTCCCTCCCGGCGTCCGTATTTCCTCCCTGTGCAGGAGGAGGCTGAACTAGGAGATGTCTGATTCCCCCAGCTCTGAGTGACTCCGGTGGGTGACGGACAAGCTCCTCTCCTCTGATTATGTGTCTCTGTCTCTGTTTCAGGAAATTAGGCTCAATTTCCCCTCAGTTTCCTTCTCTCTTCCTTTTTCTCCACTGCACTGTTGCCCGACTTCCCCCCACTTCTCTTAATTGACTGTAACATATGACTGTAGTCCAATTTGTATTTGTTGCCTTCTTTAAGTAAAGTTTTGGGCTTTCTCTTCTTACTTTACAAAGCAGATAATGGGATGCCATTTCTCTTGAAAGAAAAACTAAATAAATTATGCCCTTTTCTTAAATAGCTCCTGATTTATTAAATGGGTCAGTGAGCTGAAAAGTACTTTTACTGATGCAGTTGATATGAAGAAAAATCCTTTGTCCTGGAAATGGAGGTTACATATTATGCAAAAGATGTTAATGCACTAGAACCAGTGGTAATTATTTGAGCTCAACTCATGTGCTCCACGGAAATCTTTCGTGATGACACACGTCGTAAGTTTAAACTGCAGACCTGCCAGCCAAAACGCTGCCTAGACTTCGGTAATTAGAACACCGACGAGCTGCCGTCGGAGAGAGCCCAGGGCAGGCCGGGCCTGCGTCCCATCCGTCAGCCCCGCAGTCATTACCCAAGATGAGATGTGGGTTCAATTTTAAATAGTTTTCCATGGGAAATGCCATTCAAGGGTTGCAATCAAGATTAATTATGAAAGTTCTGTAACTGCTCGTGATGCACGACACACCGTCACACGCACAGAGGAAGGTGGTGACCCCACCCGGTGCTGCCTTTAACAAGGGAGAGAGTCAGGTCCGGAGGAACCGTGAGGACACGCTCTTCCCCAGGTCAGAGCCCAGGGGTCTCCCGAGCAGCAGGGCTGGGCTCCGGAGCACCTCCGTCCTGCCTGGGGTCGGGGTGGAAGCCCTAACCCCAAGGTGGCTGTGCTTGGGGACAGGGGCTCTAAAGTGGCAATGAAGGTTGAAGGAAGTTGTGGGGTGGGTGTTCCATGTGAGAGGCAGAGCCACAGGCCTGCGCACATGGGAAAACGGCCACATGTGACATACGAGAGAAGGCAGAGTCTTAGCAGGAACCAGCCCTGCCCGCACCTCGACCCCAGACTTCTAGTCTCCAGAACTGAGAGAAACAGGCTTCTGTTGTTAAGTCCCCGGTGTTGTGTGACGGCAGCCTGAGCAGACGATGACGAGTAAGGGGCTCACGCCGAGCGTGGCCTGTGGCAGGCCCCTCTGAGACAATGACCTCGGAGCCTCTGGAAGCTGTGGGTGTCTCTCTCTCGTCTGCTGTGTGGGGCGGTCTCGGGCCTTGGGGAGCCGTGAGCTGGCAGGGAAGCCCTGAGCCGGGGCC